TGCATCAAAATCTTAATGCGGTTCACAGAATACATCTACCTACCAAGTTTGAACAGTATAGCTCTTATAGTTTCGGAAAAAAATGGCTGTGACATACGGACGGACAGACAGACAGACATGACGAATCTATAAGGGATCCGTTTTTTCCCATTTGGCTACGGAACCCTAATAAAAACCGTCATTATTATAAGCCATTTTATTGATAGTTAACAGAAAGATTAGTGTATTTCATTTTATTATAGGAAATTTTCGTAGTTTAAAATATCCGGTATCCGGCCGGATAGTGAGCTACTATCCGGTATCCGGCCGGTTAGTAAATTTAGGCCGGATATCCGGCCTACCGGATAGTTGCCGGATATCCGTTTCATCTCTAATTAAAACCCAAAGGTTGACTGAAAGAGAATGCCATATGGCATTAAGCCTGTACTGTGATATTATGTGCAAGCTGCTTTGAGCGAATAAATAAAATAGTCACTAAAAAACCTAAGCTTAATAAAAACCTGAATTACAATATCTAAATAATAAAAGGAGAAACTGACTGACTGACATATCAACGCACAGTCTAAACGGCTAAAGTTACACGCTTGAAATTTGGCATGCAGGTACCTTAGTAAACTTAAAGCTTAGTTACAACAGGATATTGCAAAATTCCCACGGGAACGGGAGTTAGCGGGAAAAAACATTTGTATGAAAAAATCTAAACCGCGTAAGATAGATGAAGGGGGTAAATCGGGATCCACGCGTACGAAGTCGCGGGCGGCCGCTAGTTAATCATCAAAATATCCAATATTGGTAATTTTACACTGTGCCTCTCTCTAATCTCAAGATTGTAGTGCAGTCAGCGTCAAATAGTTCGTGACACCCAAAAGTTGACAAAAAGTTGACAACACAATCTTATTCCAATTGTAACATTGCGAACTTTTTGGCTACTTTGGGTGTCATGAACTATTTGACGCTGACTGTAGGTACCAGATAACGGGATAAACAAACCTATTTAGATACCTACTTCCTTCCAGAAAATACTTACATAGAAAACACCCAGACTAAACAAATGGTTTTGTTTATGCACATAAATATTTGTGTGCTTCCAATGCGAGGAAATTTTCCTAATAGGCTTGTTTGGCTCGTTCTTAGTCCGCCTGGCTACCACCGTCATAACAACAACCAAAATGTGGAATGAACTATCGGTATTTCCGGACCGATTCGACCTACTATATTTTCAAAGGTTACTAAACCTTTGTTTGTCACCTGTCATCCGCTTTGCAACGGAGGGAAGTCGAACCTTAACTTCGAACTCCTCCTATCTTCTTCTGAATTTTGTTGCGGGTCCAATGACAGTTTAACTTTCCCCCAGGACAAAGTTGACCTTCACTGATTGGCTTTTTATTGGCGGTTAAGCTGTAGATCCTGGCATAGGAGTTGCAGCGGTGGGAACGAGAGGTGGGAATAGTCCCGCTACTATCTTTTCAAGATGAGAGCGTACTCATAACTAAGTTCACTTTACGACACGTTCACAAGGGCGCTATTGTAGTTTTCGTACTAAATCTTTTGATGGCTTTTCGAATACGCAAACGATTCGAATTCGTGCTAGCCGTACTGACCTAATACTGTGGAGCTAAATTTAGATACTTTATATTTTTTGTTTTGGTACAAAGTTTATGCCAAAACATTAACTTTGAACACCTCTGAAGCATTAAAGACTCTCTTGGCAACCGTTTTAATGCATTCAAAAAAACGTTTTTTGTTTTGGCAACTCTAGAACGCATTGCCATGCCTTATCATAGTACCGTTACGCTTCTAACACTCTAACTGGACGATAGTCAGCTCTAATTTTAATTGGATACGGTTCAAAAACCTTTAGTGTGTTGTACTNTTATTTACTATAATAAACGAATAATATAATTTTAAAACGAATAATTTTAAGACAAATAACTAACAACTGATATAAAATGGTTTGATATAATGACTATTTTCTATAAAACTTACAATGTATACTATTTAAAACAAATAACATTCAAATCATATAAAAATAAAATGTCTAACAATCAACTACAGGACATCCACTGCTGAACATAAGCCTCCCCTAATGATTTCCATATCGCCCGGTTTGTAGCGGCCTGCATCCAGCGCCTTCCTGCTACATTTATGAGGTTGTCGGTCCACCTTGTGCGTGGACGTCGTTTCATGACGTAAAGCATTGCTACATTCTTATACATACATACATAGTTCGTCTGTCGCGCTGCAAGGTCAAGTATACTATTGTTGTCACCTTGAACTTTTCGCATGTAGAGTATAGTAAACATAGTTAACGTTTACTTTTTTAAGGTTAAAGTAAGTTATTTCGGTCTAACTAAATCTTTGTTTGTCGTCTGTCTTTCGCACTGGAGGGAAGTCTAATCCTCAGTACATGTAACTACTTTTAGAAGGGCCCTTCCCTACAACAATCCAGTTTTTCTGGATCCATTTATAAATGCAGGATCCCCTCAAAACTTAACTATCGTGTGAACACACAAGCAGTGGGCAGGCCTCCCACTAGGTGGACCGACGATCTGGTGAAGGTCGCGGGAGGTGCCTGGACGCGAGCGGCGCATGACCGGTCTTTGTGGAAATCCTTGGGGGAGGCCTTTGTCCAGCAGTGGACGTCTTTCGGCTGAAACGAACGAACGAACACACAACTAATACTATAGTATTACCGTGACACAAGTGTTTGAAATTAGAATTCCAAATTCGAACGGATCGGTTTTTACGGGACACAGCAAATGTGATGTTCGTGTGAAAATGTTAATATTAAAACTCTACTAAACGAGATTCTGCAAAAACACTTCCTGCAACAAACGGGATGACATCGTAGGAAAGCGCTCTAATAAGAGAGGGTCGTGTTCCTGCAGTAATTGACCTAATGATGATGACATTGGTGATGATGATGATGATGATGAAAATGAAGCTAATTCTATAAATCGAAAAAATCAAGACGAGTTGTTGAGAGTAATTAATACCATAGAGAACAATCAGAACCTTGTGTTATTGAATTACATTACCAAGTATAGTAGGTATCATTTACCATGGACAAATTAGAGCATAAACGCCAACATAACCATCAATCAACACTGTGTAGAGTTGTCTATAATCGATAATTTATCGAGAAGTTTCAAATCAATCATCGATTTAGTTTTATAGAGCTTTTATTAACCATCTTGTACTTATACCTATTTTCAAAGAAAAGCGAATTATGTAAATCTGAATTTTCAAAAATAAATATGCGAGCCATGAAATACTCATATTCTTGATATTTACCAAATATTTATTTTAAAACTTTATTGTTCAGAAACTACACTGGGCGAACTTATTGCCATCGGGCATTTTCCCTCAGTCATCCACTGAGAAAAGCAAGGAAATGAAAGTACCTAATGAGTCTTAATACACTCACATTACATACAAACATTCACTTTCACTTTTAATACTAGTATTGTATTCTAAATAGGGTTGTCAATTAAATGTCATGACTTGATAAATAAAAAGATTTGCCACACTGGATGTGGTCTGCGGTCAAGTCAAAGTGAACGCAGCCCGCATTATGTGTACAACATTATCGGTCTTTATAATAATTTTGTATTGATGAGATCTGACCGTGCGGGCACGAGCAAAAATCGCAAACTGTACCTCTAGCATGAACATCTTTCGTCGTTCGAATTAAACGGTATCCTGACAATTTTGACTCTCAAAAAGGTTTCGTGCAACCATTTCTCATACTAAGTTCACTTTACGACACGTTCACAAGGGCGCTATTGTAGTTTTCGTACTAAATCTTTTGATGGCTTTTCGAATACGCAAACGATTCGAATTCGTGCTAGCCGTACTGTACCTCTAGTACGAAAAACTTTCGAGTTCGTTTCGTTTGCGTATTCAAAGTGTCATCGAAAAATTTTGTATGAAAAATTAAACAGCGCCCCCTAGGGCGGCTATAATATAGGGGGCGCTGTTTAATTTTTCATACAAAATTTTTCGATGACACTTTGAATACGCAACGAAACGAACTCGAAAGTTTTTCCTACTAGAGGTACTGACCTAATACTGTGGAGCTAAATTTAGATACTTTATATTTTTTGTTTTGGTACAAAGTTTATGCCAAAACATTAACTTTGAACACCTCTGAAGCATTAAAGACTCTCTTGGCAACCGTTTTAATGCATTCAAAAAAACGTTTTTTGTTTTGGCAACTCTAGAATGCATTGCCATGCCTTATCATAGTACCGTTACGCTTCTAACACTCTAACTGGACGATAGTCAGCTCTAATTTTAATTGGATACGGTTCAAAAACCTTTGCGGTGTTTGGGCTGGACGATATTAACAGGAGAACTGCTTCACGATCTAATATGTGCAAAAAATTTGGGAAGTTCGCTCTAGTATTTGATCGAAACGGTTCCGTACTTTGCGAATTAAATTAGACCACTTTTTAAAGTAAATACAAAGCACAGAAAATGCTATTTTATTGTAAACTAGCTTTCCGCCCGCGGCTTCGCCCGCGTGGAATTTTGTCTGTCACAGAAAAACAATATCGCGCGCGTATTTACTCACCGTTTAGACCTATCCTGGACTACGACAAACATTTTAAAACCAAAATCAGCTCAATCGGCCCAGCTGTTCTCGAGTTATAATCAGACTAACGAACATCAATTCATTTTTATTTATATAGATATACTTAGAATACAACAGGCGGTAAATTATGGCCCCTATAATGTAAATTTGATGACGAAAAAGTAATTAAAAAACCTATTTCCGTATCCTAGATATCCTTTACAACATTATTAACATTTTCTACGCAATTTGTTTAAAGATAATTAATACCCACTTCAAAGACCCGTTGACCTGCAAAGAGGCTAAGTTTCTAGCTTCAAACCCATCCAATTAAGTAACTTTCTAACCATGCATCTAAACATAAAGGGTTCCAATCGAACCCTACGGTATCCTAACTCGTGTGACCTCGCGATCCGTACACAGATTTTACCGCAGTCCTATCCCACCAGTGCAGCCGGTAGCCTGTCTCGCGCGATGATCAAATTCGCGGCAATTTTGCTTATGTGCGCGAGCGCATACGCCGCGAAATACAACTGCAGTGCTAAATCCGCTTTATTAATACTAAAAAGACCAACATATGAGTTCTCAGTGAAATTACTAGATAGAGTCGCACAAGACAATGATAACCATTTCGTGTTTTCGCCGATCTCAACGTACCTCCAACTCCTGGCTCTTGCTGAAGGAGCCAATGGGAGGACTTTGAGGGAAATAAGGAACGTGACCAGACACCACCAAAATAGGTGCTTCAGGAGAAAATGGAGGTGGATACTGAATCGATTGGACGCGGAGCTGGCGATCGAATCGAAACGACGCTCTTTGATCGTGTTGGACAGATTGATGGCTATCAAAAAGCCTTTCATTAGAGAGATTGAAAGGCTAAAGTCGATGGATGTTATGCTGTTAGACTTTTACAATTCAGCTTTGTCTGCTGAGAGGGCAAACAGAGAGATTAGTGATGCGACCAACGGTGTTATAAAGGAAGTGTTCACTCCAAACGACTTCAACCCGAAGATTCATCCAGGGATACTTATGGCTGATACGTCTTACTACAAGAGCGATTGGAAAATTCCCTTCGATCCAGTTTACACGAGTTCCGAACCCTTTTATTCGAGGACCGGCAAGGAAGCTGGAGAAGTGTTAATGATGACTCGCATAGACTATTTCAATTATGCAGAGATACCTGTAATAAACGCAAAAGTGTTGGAATTGCCGTGTGGCTCTGACGACCGAGTGTCCATGCTCGTATTTTTACCTCTACGCAACAATGACGATGTGTTTTACTTGATGCAAAAAGTGAGGTTAATGTCAATTTTTAACGCGTTCAAAAAGAACAAACCTAAATTGGTGCACGTGAAAATTCCTAAATTTAAGATAACTTCTGATATTGACAATATACCGGAGTTGGTGTATGACATGGGTGTGAAAAGTGTTTTTCATCCAAATTTAGCGAACTTGAAAGGTATTACTGATTTTAAATTGTACGCATCTTTAATGACTCAGATAGCAGATATTGAAATAACAGAAAAAGGTGTGCAAACTGCTGTAGCAGGGTTTTTAGTGTCAGATAAAAATTCCATAGAATTTTTCGCGAATAAACCGTTCGCGTACATGTTAGTCGATAAGAAAACTGAAATTATTCTGTTTGGTGGTATGTATTCGATTCCTTTAGGAATGAATGATTTATCATTATCAAATGAAACGTAGTCATTTTTTTATAAGTTTTTATTTAAACAATGCTTAAATTTAACATTTGACTTATGACTAGTATCACAAAAACAGCCTCGCTTAAACATATGGCTTTGTTTCTCAAAATTATAAACAATATTCGAAAATGTTGTAAATTCGATGCATTACATCACTGTATAATTAAACTGTTTAGTATTACTGATTTTATTGCTATGACTGAGTAATAATATACTTGTTACATTAAAATAACTATTTATAAGCATGACGATGGTTTTATTTTAAAAATACACAATTTCTTTTATACATCTAAAAGGTCACTATTCGACATTCGTTTCCTATCCAAGTAGGTATATTAATAAAACAACAATATTTCTTTATTTGTTGTTGTTTTTGTTTATTTTACTAATTAGATATTTTTTTGTTAAAATGACCTAGATCTAATAATAAAAAAAATCGCAAACACAACCTAATTTTAATTTAAGGCATGTTCAAAAAAGGTTCCTCAGAATCTCCCTTAAACGAATATCTAAAAAATACTCAATACTCTATTATTTATTGCATCCATAATGTTAATAAAACAACCAGTAGTTTTTCATTTTAGTTATTAAATTTTACATCTTCTATATATATAAAAGAAAGTCGTGTTAGTTACTTCGCTTATAACTCAAGAACGGCTGAACCGATTTAGCTGAAAATTGTCAGGGAGGTAGTTTAGAGCCAGGAGAAGGACATAGGATACTTTTTATCCCGTTCGAAATTTAAAAAAAGTCTGCTTATTTATTGCCATTAATGCGGAACAAAGTTCGCCGGGTCAGCTAGTCTATATATATAAAAGAAAGTCGTGTTAGTTACACCACTTATAACTCAAGAACGGCTGAACCGATTTAGCTGAAAATTGTCAGGGAGGTAGTTTAGAGCCAGGAGAAGGACATAGGATACTTTTTATCGCGTTCGAAATTAAAAAATCTGCTTATTTATTGCCATTAAGGCGGAACAAAGTTCGCCGGGTCAGCTAGTACTTGATAATTTGCACTAACTTATTTTATGGCCCAGTTTAATACATAGTAATTACAATAGGTTGTCCCAATTCTTAATGTCAATCAACATTGCAGCGTTAATTAAAATTACAGACTCTATATTATACAGAGTCCGATAACAGACATAAAATGTTAATTATCTTTAATTAAAACTAGCCAAATTGATTGACATCGTTGACCAATTGTAAGGCACATAGTAATTTATAAAAGGCACTAAGTCATAGATTATTAGGTGTCAAAATGTCCTTTAACACTACGCGCAATGCATTTAATTTGGTTCATACTTCTTGTTGTTGTTGAGACATTGTTAATGTTATGCTATTGGAACCAAAAGTTTTAATACAAAATAATATATTCAGCGGAACATTAATTTCACAATTTAATACTATTTATTACAGCTACTTTTATTTAGTACAGCACTTAAAATTGTAATTGCTCATAAAATAACGAAGTTCTGAAAAAATACATTTTACTGCAAATATCATCAACATTCCTTGCCATAAATGATTTCATAATTCATAAACGAGTAATGTGTGAAATCAATATAACAAAATTGACATTGATCTGTTTAATGACCTACATTTGGATTGTTTACATTTAGTTACCTACATTTGGTTCAAAAATGAAATAATACTGTACTCCATATCTGTTTCTGTAATTTTTATGAAATAATAAATTTAAAAATTGCCAAATCTAGAACTCTATGTTAATTATGTTATGTAATTGATGGGGCAATAAAATATAAGATAATCACCATTAGCGTTGATTAATCTTTTATCTTCGTTGGAAAACTAATTTATTGATCTTTAATTTAAGTAATGAAATAATTAAATTTTATTTTAATTTGTCATAAATAAAAAATCCAATCAATTTTATGGGATGTAGATTGTAATTATGCACCCCAATTACTTATTTCTCCATTGTAAAATAAAATATGACATTAAAACGCATAATATCTTAAAAAATAACGTTTTCATTAGGTATTTCGTATTCTTTTCAATTCGGATGGTTAAAAATAAAAGTTTACATATCATTCCACCAAAAAAAGGGCTAAATGATTAACAAATACTATGGTACCTACTTAAGTTACTACTTTTCTATTTTTCGATAAGGACTTAAAACACTAATTTACAAAATTAATAAAATTAGGTCATAGAATCGATTAGAACTTCAACGTTGTTTCTAAATGGAACATCAGATAATTTATTTAATTACCGTTCCTGTTTTTAAACTTTTAATTTGACCTTTTTATGATAACCGTTTACGAGTAACTGTGCCATAGCACAATCTTATTTACGAGTATATGACGCTGACATATTAAAGGATTTGCCACACTGGATGTTCTGCGGGCAGCGTTCAAGTCAAAATGAACGCAGTCCGCATCATGTATGAACAACATTGTCGATCAGAGCCAAGACAATCTGTTAGCAGTCATGACACACTGAAAAAAATGTTACTGCTTACAAAATGTTTCGTCGTCAAATGAGTGATTTGCGAACTGAGTGTTAACCTATAAGCAAACCAGGTTTAGCTCACTACAAAATAGTTTATTTTTTACACAAAATTTTGTTCCTCATAACCATAGTACCTAGTTAGTAGTAACCTGTAGTTCACAAGTCACTCATTTGTGTAAGCAGTAACCAAACTGTTTTTTTCAGTGCAAGGCAATCTGTCAGCGACGCAGTTTGCGTTCTTTACTCGTGCCCGCACGGGCAGATCGCATCAATACAAAATGTAGAGACCGATAATGTTGTTCATACATAATGCGGGCTGCGTTCACTTTGACCAGACCGCAGAACGAATCCAGTGTGGCAACTCCTTAAAATATGTCAAGAATTTAATGTTCAAAATGAATCAAGAACCAATAAGTGTTCTAGGAAATTCAAATCACATAAAGCGTCGTTTACGACTCTCATTAGATACATCTATTAACCACTCGAGCACCAGGCTTTAAATCAAAGCACAATAAATGCCCGCAAATGTTAGACGATAAACATACTAATGCGGAAGTTATACGTGATTGCAATGTTCACATTTGTAGTTACATGAGCCGAAACTTCGATTTTGCAATTCACTTTCAATTAATGTATTTAATGAGTCTGTACATGTGACATTGGCGAAATCGTGATGCCCGAAGCATAGTCATTGTCATTAAAAAAAGAAAAAGATTTTATTTGATAAAAAAAAACTCAAAAACTTATTGATTTTTCCAAATAGGCTTTTAAAAAGCACTTTTACAAGTCCCAGTATTAATCCTACCACTGCTTTGGGACAATAAATGGGCCATTGCTGAGAAGAAGAAGCATTACATCAGAAAATTGAACTCAATAACATTAAGGTAGAGTTTGCAAAGTAATCAATTTGACTTCTGCTTAAAGCATAAGCATAAGTGTCTATGGGCGAAGGTAATCACTTACCATTAGGTGATCCGTCTACTCTTTTGCCTCCTGTCCCATAAAAAAATATAAGCGAACAAAATTACCCGTTAAGAAAGATAATTATGTTTTTTATTCCATGAAGTATGAGCCATGAAACGCTTGTGGTATCTAAATTATAAACAATTTAGATAACGGTTTTCAATCTTTTAACAGAGGTGGTAGTCCCAACCCATCCGTTATTGTGGTGAACCTACACTACTCAAGCCTTTTAGATTAGCTTGAGGGGTTAACGGGATTATTAGTAATTTGTAATCTTTAAGATCGGAAATCGGCAGTGGGAGTCGGCGTATGTGACTGCACCAGACAGTCTGCCAACAGAGAGAGATGGCGGGAGATCGTGCGGAGAGTTGTATCCGCCTCTACAACCGATGTGAACAACGCCTCAACGTGACCACGACCGCTCTGCCAAGAGCGTAACGAATAAGAAGAAGAATCTTTAAGATAGAGCCACCGTAAGAGGGAACTATAGTATGGGGAAAATTACGTGATTATCAGGAATCGGCTAGTTTCCTAAAAAACAATTTTAGTCCGTCAAATACATTATCAATTTTTTACCCAGGAAATATGAAATATCCATGTGGGGAGTGTAAGCCAAATCCACCATTTGCCTGCAGTGGAAAATAAATGACTTGATGATGATGAATCTCATAATTATATTCATAAGAATAATAAAATTGACGATAATATTTATTTTATGGTCAAAGATAACTACAAAGATCAATAAAATGCATCAGAATACATTAGTGATACGTAACACATAAAAATAGCTAATATTGATACCTAAACTAAATGCACTAAAATCTATAAAACATTTATTATATGCAGAGAAACTGACACAGATAAATTGTATATAATTGCATTTAATTTACATTTATTCACATAATATACATTTAAAATACATGTTTAACGTATTAATTAAAAATTTGCCAATTTATTAGTGCCAGTTTTACTAAAATACCATTAACTTTATTTAAATTGTATAACAGAATATATTCAAATTTTAGTAACAAGTTTATAACTATAAGTTTTATTAAAATATGGCCTAATTAATTTATTCTATGTAACAATTTTGTACTATAGATTATCTAGCACTCTGATATTATTAACTTAAAACATAGCTAATACATTATAACATAGTTAAACATAGATTGATATGTAACTGAACTCACTTCTTCTTTGAACATTTGAAAAAATTCATTAAGAGTAGGCGCACACCATTGATTTTTAGTTGGCCGATAGTTGTGCCCGATTTTAAATTGTATGAAGAATCGGCCAAATCGAATCGGCGTAGTGTGCGCACTCCCATACATGCCCATACTGATCAACTGCCCGACTAAACTATCGGCCGACGAAAAATCAACGGTGTGCGCCTACTCTAAGGGTTAGAAAGGAATTTGAAACCCCTTGAATATTTCTTAATCAACGTGCGTATAGGTCGCGCAATGAGAGTTAGACTGCTGTGCGCTGACAAGTGTTTTCTGTTTCGCTTGCAGACATTATAACAAGAGCGTGGTTGATACCATATTTGAACTTTGTGTGATTTGTTGTTTGTGTTCTGTGGGCTGAGTGTGACTTTACATCAAACGCGAAACGAAAATTTTAGTTTTTGAACGTTTCCCACTAGGGGCGTTGTAGGTACAATCCGTCATACGTTTAATGTCAAAGGACGTCANGCCTTGTAGGGTTAACCCTACCACTGCGTTGGGACAATAAATGGGCCATTGCTGAGAAGAAGCAGCATTACATCAGAAAATTGAACTCAATAACATTAAGTAATCACTTACCATCAGGTGACTCGTCTGCCTGTTTGCCTCCTGTCTCATAGAAAAAAGCGGACAAAATTACCCAATATAAAAGATAATTGTTTTTTATTCCATGGACTATGAGCCATGAGATGCCTGTAGTAGTAATTTAGATAACGGTTTTCAATCTTTTAACAGAGGTGGTAGTTCCAACCCATTTATTATTGTGGCAGCCTTTTAGATCAGCTGGAGGGGTTAACGGGACTATTAAAATTTGTAATCTTTAAGATAGAGCCACTGTAAGAAGCAAATAGGTATGCGAACATCAGGAATCGGCTAATTTCCTAAAAAAAAAAAACAATTTTAGTCCGTCCAATACATTATCAAAAAATATTGGACACGTATATTTTTATTTGTCAATCAAACAAGTAATTACGAAGTTTGGATGCATTGAACTTCCGCGTGACGTACAAAGTGACGTCATTCATGGGTCTCTTCATTTGAAATTTGGTGCGCTTTATCTCTTTCCATTTTCATTAATTTGAAAAAGTGAAAAATACGTGTGGAGTATTTTTTGATATGTTAACCGACAGACTAATTAAAACTTTTAGTTTTTTACCCAGGAAACATCCCTGTGGGGAGTGTAAGTCAAATCCACCATTTGCCTGCAGTGGAAAATAAATGATGATAATGAATGATGATGATGAATCTCATAATTACATTCATAAGATTAATAAAATTGACGATAATATTTATTTTATGGTCAAAGATAACTTCAAAGATCAATAAAATGCATCTAATACATTAGTGTTATGTAACACATAAAAATAGCTAATAGTGATCATCATCATCAACAGCCCTTTACAGTCCACTGCTGGACTATGAGCCTCCTCCACTATAGTGGAGGGTTTTGCCATAATCTCCACACTTGGCAGGCGGGTTGGAGATCGCAGTTTAAAAGATTGATGTTTTTCAGAGAGCGCTGCTGCCCATTCTCTGTTTGATGTGTAGTCCCTAATAGTGATACCTAAACTAAATGCACTAAAATCTATAAAACATTTATTATATTATGCGGAGAAACTGACACAGATAAATTGTATATAATTGCATTTAATTTACATTTATTCACATAATATACATTTAAAATACATGTTTAACGTATTAATTAATAAATAGACAATTTATTTGTGCCGGTTTTATCAAAATAACATTAACTATATTTAAATTTTATAACAGAATATTTTAAAATTTTAGTAACAAGTTAACAACTAACTATAAGTTTTATTAAAATATGGCCTAATTAATTTATTCTAGGTAACAATTTTGTACTATAGATTATCTAGCACCCTGATATTATTAACTTAAAACATAGCTAATACATTATAACATAGTTAAACATAGATTGATATGTACTGAACTCACTTCCATCTTTGAACATTTGAAAAAATTCATTAAGAGTAGGCGGACACCGTTGATTTTTAGTTGGCCGATAGTTGTGCCCGATTTTAATTTGTATGAAGAATCGGCCAAATCGAATCGGCGTAGTGTGCGCACTCCCATACATGCCCATACTGATCAACTGCCCGACTAAACTATCGGCCGACGAAAAATCAACGATGTGCGCCTACTCTAAAGGGTTAGAAAGGAATTTGAAACCCTTTGAATATTTCTTAACTTAATCAACACCGTATAGGTCGCGCAACGAGAGTTGACCGCTGTGCGCTGACAAGTGTTTTCTGATTCGCTTGCAGACATTATAACAAGAGCGTGGTTGGTAGCTATTTATTCGATATTTGAACTTTGTGTGATTTGTTGTTTGTGTTCTGTATTCAGATATTTCAGTGTGAGTACGCGCTCGCCTCAACTTTAGTTAAGCGGCCTATACAAACCAAAGTTCACTGGAAAGCGAACATCATGATCAGTATTGGCACCGCTATGACACACGCCAAGTACAAAGATTTCCGAGGCTCACACTCTGATATGATCACGAATTGCTCGTTCCATAGCGAATCGTTGTTTCTTAAAGGCACCTCCAAGACTACCTATGGAAACAAGAAATAATTAGGGCAACGTAATAAATTTTAAATCTTAACATTAGCATCATATACAATAAAATTTGTTTTGTATGAAAATTAAAAAAAAAATGATGATATCAAATTTCTGACTTCACCATACCATTTATATGCCCATGTTACCATGGGCTAGTGTCTGCTCATATACCCATTTACCTAACACGCTGTATACAGGGTGACTTTGCAATCAGCAATTGCAAAATTTTTAGGAGTGACTCAGAATCAGTAACTTTATCGATTTATGTAAAGAAAAAAAAATCAAAATTGGCACACGTGGATAATTTGCTTCGTTCATAGAAAAATACGTACACACAGTTAACTACAAAGCTTAATAGACATAATAGTACGCGAAAATAAGCCTTAAAAATTAAAATACCCCGCGAATTACATTTACAATTTTTTTTTTCGCGAAAAATTCTAAAGTTGTATTGTTAAATTGTTCCATAGAACTTATTAAATAAATTGAATACTGATAACAATCACCCTGTATATTAGGTTAGATAGTATGTAGGTACTTTTTATTACGAAAAATTAGAACGCCATAATCCAAGTACTTATTCTTATCGCTAAGAAGCGGTCTCTTTCAAACAACTCTTAGAGATCAGAGGGCAAATTGTTTAAAATATAAAAAGGGAAGTGAATGAATGAATGACTATAGAATGAATACCCTATAGCGACCCAGACACTATCAGTATAGTAAGTTATTTTTGGAATGAAAGAATGACTTATAGTGCGACAAGGTCATTTTATATGTAGAGAGATTTAGGCTGAGTAACGATAACCGGTGTTTTTTGTATGGAGTTTAACAGATTTTTGATGTTTGTTAACGTTACAGTAAGATCGTGGAACCCAGCCTTAGAATGTCATTACCGAAACAAGGAACCACGTAATTATTCCTGGCTAGCAGTGAAACTCGTGTACGAAATTCAATTTTCTCGAAAATGTAGGTTGAATAACTTTTACCGTTTTTGCAACATTTTTCGTTGACGCTCCGTTCCTATTGGTCGATGCGTGATGGTATACAGGGTGTCCCAAAAACAATGGATAACCCAGTTACCATCGATAGGCCTCGCCATGGTCTCCCTAGCTTTTTATATTACATATGTATGGCCTTCGATAAAAAGGCTACCCAACACAAAAAGCTTTTTCAACCAAACAAACTTTTCAGTTTTATAGTATTAGTAGGTATGTCAGGAGAAGCCATACGCCCGTATTCACAAACATTATTATGAGATCTCACAGTGCGCGTAGACGCACAGGCCAGAGTGACACACGAACCAATCACAGAGCTCTATTTAACGCTGTGTGTTCGATTTGCTGTTTCATTTAAGCAAGCATCGTTTGTGAATACGGGCGTTAGATACGCCACGATAGAAAAAAGATATTACAAAAGACTAGCGGCCGCCCGCGACTTCGTACGCGTGAATCCCGTTTTTCCCGCTTATTCCCGTTCCCGGGGGAATTTCGGGAATTCCTTTCTTAGTGCACCTCTACGGTACCTAAGCTACGTCCCTTCCAAATTTCAAGTGCCTACGTTTAGCCGTTTAGGCTGTGTGTTGATCTGTCAGTCAGTCAGTCAGTTTCTCCTTTTATATATTTAGATAGAAAGATATATTCTTACCTTCTGACTGGAGAAAAGGTCCAAAGACAAGTCACACTTGTTGGTGCTGTTCATGCATTCCCTCAACTTGGTCTTGGCGACGTCGTATCTGGTCTTCTGCAGGTCGAAGCGAGCCTTGATGAAGTTCGTCTGGACCTCGTTCTCTGAGTTGAAGACGAAGAAGTAGTAACCGTTCGATGGTACCCTAAGGAAGTGAAAAGGGATTGTTATATTTGAGAGATGCCAACTAATGCACTAAGTTCGAAACTCATTAGAAATTCACACACACAAAGTAATCGAAATGTGTGCTCATTATCCACTGCGGCATCAGTACTCAACGTTTGAATAATCTTTAGTACTACGAGTACGCAAGCAGTGTAAACTGTTTACATTATGACGTCGCTTCTGTCATCATTGCTGTCACGAGCAATGTGTTCTGTTTTGTGCTCAAGACAGTTAGCTATTCCTTTATCATCATCATCATCACATTAATTGCTATTATCAGGTTATGTATTCTCCATTGCAAGAATATGACCCTCACACAAATAAATAAATATCCTGATAAGGCCTACATTAATCTTGACGCTACAGATGTTGCGGCGGCAAAGGACATGAAAGAAATTACTCATGATTTATATGACTATTTTTGACACACCAAAATGTACAACCAGAAATAGATAACCTTCGTCTATATTTTGTTATAGGTAAATAATGTACATACTGCAACGGTTATGATGAGTAATGCTTAAAAAAAACATGATTTGCAATGCAAATAAAGGAGTTTTCACCTAAAGGACAATTACCAGACAATAACAGAGAACGCAAATAAAAGTCCACTTTTTTTGTTAACGTTCTTAATCATTGTGCAAAGTAGATAAATGAAATTCTCACGACAGTAAACTAATAATAGAAGTTACAATACCACACTACACTTGATTGAACAATAGTACCAAACCCATATAATAGTGAACAGCGATTTAAATTTAAATGGCATCAAACTACCCATGCATGTCCAGGAGTGCCTGTGATTCAACAATAAATTGGGTCTGAATTACATACAGTACAACATTCTAGACATATTCAATGTGCTTGTGCATTATCGAAGTTTCTAGCGAGGCCTATGTTAATAAAATAGTCGAACAAAGCTGTGATTTCATATGCCTCGTATGATTTTTCATAGCATCGCTTGCACCCATCTGATTTCTAAACAATAGTACACGGAAAGTTATTACAAGACCTCTACGTTAAAGGGCCAAAAACGTGCTGTACTGTTTCGAAAATCATACTTTAGCGTAATCATTCATCATCATCATATTAGCCAACGATAATAATTAGTTCACTGCTAGCTTTGAAAAGAATAAACATTTCCATTAAGTCACTGGCTACCTGTGTAAAGAACAGAACTTTTTCATTTCTCTTCTGGAGGTCGTCAGTCCATCTAATCATCAGGTCATATCTTATTCATAGGAATTAGACAATATAGATCTGTCAAATGAATTTCTGGTCACTGCGATACAAGCACGAACGCTTAGTGCAGAGACCGCTAGACTAAGAAATACAAATACAAATACAAAATCATTTATTGTGAATCATAGGTAAAATGGTGACATGTTACATTAGGTAGTATCACTATGTTCCGCTCAAAGAGCATACAATTTGTCAGACAACAATAAAATTTGGCAGTTAGATTTATCGTCAAAGAATTCAGATATATTATAATAACATTTATTAATTAAATAAGTCAGTAAAGTTTTTTTAAATGAATTTAGATGTTCAATTAATCTAATGTCTTTTGGTAATTTATTTATAATCTTGGGTGCCATGCCTACAATATTCTTAGCAAAAAAAATTGTCTTATAAGGATCCTTACATATTAAATTCTTGTCGCGTGATCTGTGATGACTTCTGAATAATGTTGGGTTTTGTCTGACGAAGACCGCAACTTCATAAATATACATAGATGGCAAAGTTAGAAGGTTCAACCGTATAAAGTGAGGTTTACATGTATCTGTGGGTTTTAGCTGGCAGATTGCACGTACGCATCTCTTCTGTGCTCTGAACACTAGCTCTCGGTCAGTAGCATTAGTCATAGTCATAGTCATATATACCCCAAAAGATTNTACCCCAAACGATTATCCCGTATCGTAAGATTGACGCGACGTATCCGTGATATGCCGTTAATACTGTTGATTCATTGGATATCTTCCGCAACATGTATAGGGCATAAGAGAACTTACTTAGTTTTTTGCATAAAGATTGTATTTGAAAAGTCCATCTTAATTTATTGTCTAAATCCAACCCAAGAAATTTAACTTGCTCAGTCTCGTCAATATTTGTGTCAAGGAATTTAATGTCAAGTTTCGGTTTGTTACTCTCTTTAATTCTAAAATTCATCACATTAGTTTTGTCTAAATTAATTATTAAATTATTGGATTGCAGCCACTTAATACAACACTGTAGAGAATTGTTAATCTCATAAGTTAAAGTAGAAACATTATCTGAACTAAAAACAATATTTGAATCATCGGCAAAGAGGACCATAGGGTGACTGGTAGCCATAATTCATGTTAAATCATGTATTTCCTCCGCCATTTTCCGCAGTTTGGCACCTCACGTCACATCATTTTACCGAAGTCAGCCGTATAGCTTCGGCGCAGTGCCGATCACTGACGTTTGTCAACAATATGGTGCTTGACTCTTGAGACAGGCTAAATTACACCATATTGTTAATGACATTGAGCATATTTTTTTTAAATACCTTCGCGAAGTAAAACTTCTGTACGTAGTACTTATTATTATTCTGTGGCACAACTTACTAAAGGTGAATAATGTCGTTAATTGATATTGATCCTTATACTACAAATATTAAGGTCGAAATTATTTTACTAGGTCGATGAGCTGACGTATAATTGTGTAACATAATTGTTGTTATTAGTTGTGTTAATAATAGAATGAGATTTATTTATTGTAAATAATAAAACGTTTTTTGTTTTAAAGCTTTTATTTTTTAATCTTTGGCATTTGTTTTTAATTCCGTACGATCCAATAAGGTTTATTTCAGAGAAACTCAGAATTTCGTAAATACAGCGTTTATTATTTTAAAAATACTTTTATACAAAGCAAAACACCCGCCATAGCACACGAAATGAGAGAGACAGAGCATCACAGTAAGGGCTATCGTTTTTATACTTTTTTAATTGTCCCGGTGAACTTCGTACCGCCTATGTTCGTCAGAAATGATGTAGGATTCTAATGGCCAAAGAATTTTTCGAATCGGTCCAGTAATTTCGGAGTCAATTCAATACTAATAAACAAACAATAAATCTTTCCCATTTATTTTAGTGTAGACAGTTGGCAACACTGCTGCGAGTGACAGGTCCTTACTAACAGTGGCGCCATCCTGTGAGTTTACATTAAACGACCTCACTAGTGAGCGCGTTTAAAAAATGTATGAGAATTTTAGTTTTTGAACGTTTCCCGCTAGGGGCGCTGTACAATCCGCCATACATTTAATGTCATTTTTTTAATGCGATAGTTCGCGCCACTATTTTAACCAAAAGTGAGTGACAGGACCTACGATAGCCTTAATCATTCATTCCATTTAAGTTTCTCGAAACTTAGAAACTAAAAAAGATCTTCCTAAAATACTTTTTAATTCTTCTTTTTTATTTTATGACTTTTTTTATCCTTAAGTGCTATCTAGGGGCATAGCATATGCCCCCGCCAAATCAAGCTTGTATTCCCTTACACTATTATTTTTATAATATAATATGTACACAGTTCTGAGAAAGACCTCGTAGGGCTCGCCACCTCCAAGTAAAGTGTCAAGTAGGCTACTCGTTGCTTAATCAGGTAAAGCGACGCGCGCCCGCAGTGAGTGTGCGAGCGCGACAGCAACATAATTACGTGCGAGCGACAAGGATGGGCAGCTTGGGGTCATTGGACGGGATTCTACGTGCTCACGGACCAGGCTTTAGTCATCATCATCATTTCAGCCACAGGACGTCCACTGCTGAACATAATCCTCCCCCAATGATTTCCATGTTGCCCGGTTGGTAGCGGCCTGTGTCCAGCGCCTTCCTGCTACCTTGTGGATGAATCAATCAGGAAGTACTTACTCATAAGTAAGTACTTAGAACTTTACTCGGAGTTCGTAAAAGAGATCCTGAATCTTATTTCCTAGACTTAAGATTGAAATTCAATGACTAAAATATTTAGCCTAGTCGCAGACCACAGACTTTTAGTTGGCCGATATAAAAAAAAACTCATAAAACTCGTTTATTTTTGCAAATACTTATGCTTTTAAAAAGCACTTTTACACGTCCCAGTATTAACCCTACCACTGCTTCGAGACAATAAATGGGCCAGTGCTGAGAAGAAGCAGCGCAGGAAACTCAGTCACTACTGTCAGCTAGTTGGATCGGGCTGTTAATCAGTATGAACATGTATGGAAGTGCGCACATTACACCGATTTGGTATCGGCCGATTCCTCATACAAATTGGAATCCGACCCAACTATCGGCCAACTTATAGATCCCCAACCCGTCCTCCGGACACGGCCTGAGCCGAGGTCCGAGCATACCGTGGCACGCTCAGGCCGCGTCCGTAGTCCCCTCGATCGGGCCCACTAGAGTGAGCCCGCCGTAGGCTGGACTTTGGTCCAACACCGCGGTGGGCAACCCTCTAGTTGGGTTCGCCACTGATCGGGCGCCTTATGCGCTCGATACGGCCCGATCGCCAAACGGCTAGAGTATCTTCTGTACTCGCCACTCTGCCCGATGAAGCTGGAAAAGCTCGTCAAGTTACCAGCGCGCGTTCCTTAAAAAAAAAAGACGCGCCCCACCAATTTTTGGTCGAAGGAAGCGCGGGGCGCTTGATCCGAGCAATCCGAGCGTCATTATTGTAGTGTGCTTGTACACTCATGGATGATCGATATCACTCAAACATTCGCGGAAGAATGGTGGGGCGCGTCTTCTCGGGTGAAACGATCTATAAAGTCGGTAGTCTGCGGGTTTTACTTAAATAGGGTTGCCAGGTCCAAAATCACAAAAGCAGGACTCTGTGCTTCATTTGGCCGCACATGTTACCTTAAAAGCCGGACATGGCATGGCATGGCATTAGTGTCAGCTCATGAGTGAGTACTACATCATCGGTTGCTAACCATCATCCTGATGCGTGCGCTTCATATTATTCTGTGGCTCGAATTTCGCCTGGCGCGGTAACCAAATAAAAAGCCTAACAAAAGCCGGACAGGCCGGACAGCACAATATTTGTCCGGACAAGACCGTAAAAAGCCAAACATGTCCGGCTAAAACCGGACACCTGGCAACCCTATACTTAAAATTAACTATGAATGGTCCTCAGTACCATTGAAACAAAGACGTTTCCATACAGGCATCCTAAATTAACCTATAATTACCTAAGTCTAACTGGAGTATATGTTGTATTTCTCCAGAGGTTCGTACGTCCATTCTTCGTCAGAATTATAAACAGGTTCTTCAGGGTACTCCTCGTATATTTCTTCTGGAAATGAGAGTTTATGATTAATTTACTTAGATAGGTACTTCTATTAACTAAAAACAGAGTGAGAATTTTGTAACAGTGGGTTCATATTGACACTACTGTGAGCTCAGTGTGAGTTTACATCAATCGTCCTAGTGAGCGCGTTTTATGTAAACTCACATAGGCCCTCTGTAGATACGTATTTGAAAAAGTTTATTCAATGTGAGTTTCTTAATTGCGCTAATCTTTTTCGTATCTAACACCTCGCTTTCTGTACGTCCAGAGCGTCGGTGTGACGTCACGTCATGACTGCCAGGTGCGCATAGGGTTGCCAGGTCCAAAATCACAAAAGCCGGACTTTGTGTTTCATTTGGCCGGACATTTTACCCTAAAAGCCGCAATTAGCTCATGAGTGAGTACTATCATCATCGGTTGCTAACCAACATCCTGATGCGTGCGCTTCATATGATTCTGTGGCTCGACTTTCGACTGGCGCGGCAACCAAATAAAAAGCCTAACAAAGGCCGGACAAGGCAATAAAGGCCGGACAAGGCAATATTTGGCCGGACAAGACCCTAAAAAGCCAAACATGTCCGGCTAAAGCCGGACGCCTGGCAACCCTAGGTACGCAGTTAACTTGATAGAGTTGTACATAGCTCAACATGTGAATTACTAGATATACTATACCTTGTACTGGTGGCCTGTGTGGTGGCGGCTTAGGACGTGATGTAACTGGAGGAGCGAAGTGTGTTGCTGAAACAGATTAAATTGTGCTTTAAAACTACAAGCTAGTCTTTCATAAATTAATGTAAATAATATTATGTAAAATTATGCTAGACCTACGAGTAAAGGTCATAGCAGACATATCAACTCGGAAAGGGATCAACCACGGTAATACTATCATACAGTATTGTAACTTCATATAAACGGACGAAACGCGAGCTTTCCTTCGAAATTCAAATCTCGGTATGCGCTCGACATGCAAAAGTCGGGGGTGTCGCGAATGTGTCATAGTAATAAACTGACGATGTGTTGTTTTGTAAACAGTGAGTGTTTTTTTTATAAAAATAATTACAAGTAACTATTTATACAGGGTGTTAGGTAAATGGGCTTATAAGCCGACATTAGCCCATGTTAACATTGTATGTAAATGGTATGGTTGGTGTAGTCAGTGATATCATAATATATTTTTTTTAATTTTCATACAAAATAAAATTTATAAAATCAGATTTGTATGAAAATTAAAATTATTAAAATGCTGATATCAATTTTCTGACTTCACTATACCATTTATATGCACACGTTAACATGGGCCAGTGTCTACTTATAAACCCATTTAACTAACACCCTGTATAATAAATCAAGCATTTTGTACGCCTCAGTCGAGGCGCATACATTTTACGGTCGCAAATTTATAAGATTTGTCTCTAAATCTTAACACAAATATATTTACAAGACAATATGCATTTTTATCCTATTTCATTCACAAAGTATTTTGTTTGTCAAAATAAAATAAAAAATTACAATCACAAAATACATTCACAAAACTAGATAGAAATTTTTAGTAGGCAGATGTAGTGAAAATAGGGTCTGCAGGTGGGCAGCCCTATCGCATGTTGTCATAGGGTGACGTACCGTGCGGCTGTTGACATTTATTTCAAAAATATGGCCGAGTTGGAATACTGTATAGATAGTATTACCGTGGATCAACACCGTATCGCTTGTCATCGCTTTTCGCGCGCTGTCAATCGCGAGGCGAGGCGATTACGTTACGGTGCGAAAAATGCGTTGAAGTTGAAGTTTCATACAAAGGATAGGTACTGACTGCCTCGAGTTGATACGGTTTCGATCCCTTTCCGGGTTGATAAATGTGCTACGTCATTAAGTACCTAAGCACAAATTATAAGGAGTTTCTTCTTCTTATCTAAAGCCCGGTCTGTGAGCACGTAGAGTTTTGTACAATGATCCCAAGCTACCCATCCTTTTCGCTCACGCGTTATTATATTGCTGTCGCGACTGTGTAATAATTACGCGCGAGCGATACGGATGGGTCATTGGACAAAATTCTACGTGCTCATAGACCAGACTATAGTAACTTGAAAAATTAGCCTTACTTGGTCTCTCAAATCTAGGAGGTTCTGGGTTGGGTGGCACTGGTCTCTCAAACCTTGCAGGCTCTGGGTCGGGTGGCGTCCATTCTTCGTTGTAATACGGTTCTTCGTCATATTCTTCATAAACTGGTTCTATAGAAATATTATTATTATAGCCTGACCAGGAACATAAAAACCCTCGCCATGTTGCGGAAAACTAATGGTACTAATTTCTTTTAATGGCAACAGTAACTGAAAACTTCATTGAAATGTCACCTTGCATGTCAGTCTATTGCTGTCAAAGTGTAAACAAACTTTATTTTAAATGTGCGCAATTGATTTTGTGAATTAAATTGCTAAAATCTTTTTATAGTCGTGAAAGAAAAGTGGTTCACAATGTGTTAAAGTATTTGTCGAAGAGAAATACTAAGGGTTCGAACAATATTTTATTTGAATAATGTTTCCGACAAAGGTTGTCAAATTGACTGACATGTTTATCGTATAGTACAGTCCACTATGAAAATTAGCTGTAGTTTGTTTCAACTACCAATTTTAAAATTGTCACTTTCGAAGTGTTGAATTTTATGGAATTGGGAAAGAAATACCGAGTTTGAAGCGTTCATGAGCAGACATTGCAGTTGAATATTCAAGTTCTGAATTTGATTATTGATGAATAATAAAATAAATCCTACTAGCTCGATTGATGGTTTCATTTAATTTATTTAAACCAGGTTACCTATAATAATATTTTTTCGTTAATTTATTAAAATATCAAATTAGCCCGTAATCCTGAATCCTGATACATAAAGTTAGCCTATTAATTTAACACAGGTACGACTGTACTCAGTGTTGCACTATCAAATGCAATTGACGCGCCTCTATGCCAGGGTTTTTATGTTCCTGGTCAGGCTATATAACAAATTACTTACTTGCAAAATAGTTCGCTCCACCAAAGGTACGAGTAGAAACTCAAATGAAATTGGCAGCATATTTTGTGATTTATCGAAAGCTTTCGATTGTGCTTTTTTTTACTAATTACAGCATAATACTTAGTCTTAAATTATTCAGGAAAATTGTAATAACCTAAGGCAGGTTGCAAAAATTAATGTTTATGGAATTGATTCCCCTGGAGTTCCTTTACGTACGGGTGTGCCTCAGGGTACTAAATTCAGACTAAAAAGTTTGTAAGTGACAACAGTGTTACATGTAGATTAAAAAAAAAATTAGATCGACCGATATTTGACGATTCTATGGATTACCTTCAACAACTTCTCTGGGAGGCGGAGGGAGTGGTTTACTCATTTCATGTGGATGAATTTGTGAAAACCCTGAAACGAAATTATGGATTAAAATTATTATACTCGTACCGTAGATGATGACGGACGATAATTAAGGAAGTAGTTTCTACTTTGAGGATGGATTGAAGAAAATGTAGAGCAGATCATTAACTTTACAGCCAGAATATTCTCATAATGATTGTTATTTTTGGAGGCATTGCCAGCTAAGTACTTAAAGTTAAAAATACATTAGATACTACACGTTCCCTTATAAAATTGATTTGAAATTCGGACGCAATTATTTTTACTTTCTGATGCATTTTTCCATCAGACTAGTAGGTAATAGAAGGAAGAATTTTTTAGCAGATACCTTACCTGGATTCTCAAACTTGGGGGGCTGCGGATTTGGTGCCTTCAAAGGTTTCACAGGAGGCACATGGGCGACCGGCTTGAGAGTTCCAGGAGCCCCTATCGTTGTAGGGGTTGTTTTAGGAAGCACAGGTATTGACTTCCCTGGCGCGAAGGATTTAACTGGTGCATTTGTCAGTCGCTTTTGAGCCGTAGCTGGTTTAGGGGATGTAGCCCTTTCAGATAAAGGTTTTAGAGGCGGATTGGGTGGCTTGTAACCAGATGCTACTGGTTTTGATGGTGGGTTAGGGATTTTTGGTGCCGGTTTCACTGGGTTAGGGGTTTTGGCAGGGTTGAGAGGGGCTGGCTTCAGCCGCTGTCTGGGAGCAGGGCCCGGTGCCAGGCCTAGCAGAATAGCTGTAAAGACAAGTTGAGAGTTAAATTAGGTGATTATCCTTGCGGTGAAAATTCTTTATGCACAGTGCACATACATGGCTTGCGCTCATTCTTTGGTCAATTTAGCTTGCTAATCCATCGGGCTATGTCAGCGACTTTAGTTCGTTTACGGATCTCCTAATTTCTGACTCGATCTCGTAAAGACACACTAGCCCTTTCCATAGCACGTTGCAACTTTGAGCGTTTTGAGCTTTTGGTGATGATAGTAGTGATAACTGTGCTGACATAGCCCAACGGATTAGTATGCTGAAGTGGCAATGGGCAGGGCACATAATATAGTACGCAGAACTGACGGCCGATGGGGCAGCAAGGCTCTGGAGTGGAGGCCACCTACCGGAAAGCGCAGCGTAGGACGTCCACCCATAAGGTGAAGACCTCATAAAGGTAGCGGGAAGGCACTGGATGCAGGCCCCTGCCCGCTACCAACCGGCTATTGTGGAAATCATTGGGGGAGGCCTATGTTCAGCAGTGGACGTCCTATGGCTGAAAAGATGATGATGATGATGAGTAGTGATAAGTAGGTAGGTACCTGACTTTCCAGTGGGCAGCGGGTTTGGTGCTTCTGCTACGAATGGTTTCTGCTCAGGCTGATGCGAATTGTCTGCAGCTGAAAGGAGATTTTAAGTTTTAGAATACTTAATTCACTCGTAGTGTCGTACCTAGTATAGGACTGGACATGTTTTTCTTTCCTTTAATTATTTTAAGTCCTAGATGTAGTTTTGTTGGGCTATTTCCAAAGGTTTCTGTTGTTTTTATTTCCCACCGGGTCCATGAAATTTTAAAATTTTCATAGAAAATGCTTATTTATCTTTGAAAGGATTTTGTGAACCCGGCCTAAATGCCAGTTCTTAGGAAAGACCATGATAGGATCAAGAGGATGTGACAAAAGTGACTGAGTTTCTTCCATCATAATGGCCAGTTATATTATATACAGAAAAGGACCTACATATTAATTTATGAGTGTTTCTTAGTAATTCAAGCTTTTTGTTAGTGATTAATTAATTTCACCATTTAATCTTAACATGCCATAGTCATTCAGGTAAAAATCGTGCAGAATCGTGCGTATAACAATAATAACATAATTTTTAAGTACAACCAGTATTATTTTTCATGCGTTCCACCATGCAGATGACATTTGAGTAAGAACATTTTATTTTTCATGCTTCGGTGAATGCTCAATTCAATGCTCATTTTTACCACGACTTGCCACAAAGTTGCAATCCGATCGAGCTAACTGCGCACTGGAAGCTGGAATGCGACTCTCCCTCGCACTCACCCGCACGCTTCCCCGCGTTCGCCCCGTCCGTACAAGAGCGTCGATGTGACGTCACGGCCGCCAGATGCGCAGTTAAATCGAATGGGTTGTAACTTTACCCTGTCCAGCCATAGTCGGGTACAATCCATGCAGTTACCCTGTCGAGCCATAGTCGGGTACAATCCATGCAATTACCCAATTACCTCCGAAGTACTGTTTCCTTATACGAGATGGGATTGAGTGTTTCTTAGGAGGCGGCGGTGGATTGTAATTCTTTGGGACCCCCACAGATGCTGGAAAATATATCTGACAGTAAGAAATACAGTTTTTGTACCTTCATTTGTCATTGAATTTTTCTTATCTATTCCAAACTTAAGGTTCAGTCAAACCAACGCGATCAGCCGGCGTGCAGCGATAGCGACCAGACTTAAATGCATTGGTCGCCATCGCTGCACGCCGGCTGATCGCGTGGGATCACGTTGCCGCGTTGGTTTGATTGAACCTTTAGTTCGTTATTTCGTGTCAGCCAAATGGCGTTTATGGTTGGACAAAGGTCTCCCAAAGAAGATTTAATTTTCCACAACGACTGATCCTGCGCTGTCCGCATTCGCGTGATTCTAGTGATCTTCAGATAGTCGGTCCACCTAGTGGGAGGCCTGCCCACACTACGTCTTCTTTGATATTTTTCATAAGTCACTGGACACGTTTAAATTAAGTCTTAATTGTATCGTCTAAGATTGCCCTAAGGGTTATATGGTACTTGTAGCTTTCTATTGATTCAAAGTTGATGAAACTAACTCACCTTTCCTCATCTTCAAGATGTTGTTCAGTTCAGAGGTCACTGATGCTTGGCCGATACCTGGAAAATAAATAAAGCATTTATGTATTACATACGTTAAATATTCAAAATCTATATTTCGTACTTCGCCGCCACAATACTACGAGTATTGTGGTGAGCCCATTCATAACACAAGCATAGCTTAGTAGTTACGAGGGGTTAACTTTAGACTAATGAGTATATTGGATGATTCGGTAGTGCCATTATAAAATATAACATACAATTACCGCAGTGTGGTGACGGCAAGAATACATTTGTCACCAACCCCTACTCTTCGTAACGTTGGGTGTCATAAGAGGCGACTTAGGGACTACACATTAAACAGAGAACGGGCAGCAGCGCTCTCTGAAAAACATCAATCTTTTAAACTGCGATCTCAAACTTAGCTTTGAGGAGATTATGGCAAAACCTTCCACTATAGTGGAGGAGGCTCATCGTCCAGCAGTGGACTGTAAAGGGCTGTTGATGATGATGATGACAATAACCTTGTCGCACTAACTGTCCGTCTTCGAGACATGATGATGATGTGCAGTATATGTCTAAGTAAAAGGAAATAAAACTCACCAGCTCTAGGTCTGGTGAGAGTGCTGTTTTTAAATTGAGAGGCTTCTTCGATTGGTTGCAGCGGAGTTTTGGATAAGTGTGCCGGAGAAGCGCCTCTCTCTGAAAGAAAGAAAAACATGCTTATTTGATGCAAGTACGTCCTTCATCATAATAATTTTAGCCATAGGACGTCCACTGCTGAACATAGGCCTCCTCCAATGATTTCCATATTGACCGGTTGATAGCGACCTGCGTCCAGCGCCGTATTACCTTTATGATGTCGTCATACTTAGTACATCCTTACAAATTAAAATAACATTAAAAAAAACATAACCCTCTTTCTGGTACAGTTTGGTAACTAATCAACAGGGTTCGTTCGTACGCTTCGGCCATCATAGAACATGATCTGAGGCTTCGGCCAAATGACGTCCACTGCTGGACAAAGGCCTCTCCTAAGGATTTCAACAACTACCCGTTCCTGCGCTGCCCGCATCCAGGTACTTCCCGTGACCTACCAGATCGTCGGTCCATCTAATGAAATACATACCTCCTCTAAACCTTTTCAGGCTTCCCACCAATGACCCCGAGTCGTCGTACGAAGATGTCCTGTCTTGGTGGTGCGCAGAAGGATCAGCTGGAATCATTCATTATTATCATTATCAGGTGTTTTTTGTATGGTTTGACCATAGAGATATAGAGAGATGCCAACTAATGCGCAATGAACTCGGTGTCGTATTAGAAATTTACACACACAAAGTAATCAAAATGTATGTGCTCATTATGCACTGCGGTATCAGTACTCAACGTTCGAATAATCTATAACTACGCAAGCAATGTCAACTGTTTACATTATGACGTCGCTGCTGTCATCATTGCATTCACGAGCAATGTGTTCTGTTTTTGGGCATATTGCTGCGACACGGCCACGCCCCCTTGTCACATCTCCCTTTAGTTTCTGTGATCTGGGAGTTTGACAGACTTGTGACGTTTGTTATTAGGGTCCCGTTTTTATCCGTTAGCTATGGAACCCTAAAAATGTTTCTGTTTTTCAACCGACTTCAAAAAAAAGGAGGAGGTTCTCAATTCGACCCGTATGTTTTTTTTTTTTCTATGTTTGTTACGCGATAACTCCGCCAATTATGAACCGATTTGAAAAAACCTTTTTTCGGTATATAGGTAATACCTCAAGGGTGGTCCCATTTAAATTTAATAATAGAAAAAACAACCCCCAAGGGTGGAAAGTTGGGGATGAACTTTTTTATACGCAATATCTCCGCCGATTATAAATCAATTTGAACGATTATTTTTTTGTTGAATAGGTATTATCAAAAGTGTGGTTTCATGCGAATTTGAAGAAAATATTTCACCCCCAAGGGTGGAAAATTGGGGATGAACTTTTTTATACGCAATATTTTTAATTTTTAGTTTTTTTTTGTGTTCACGCATTTGAAGTCGGTTTTATTTTTTTTAAAAGTTAATTATCCAATCTCAACTGTTCCACCAGTTTTATTGCTTATTCCATAAACCGACTGAGCCAACTGCGCACCTCGCTGGAATGCGACTGTCCCTCGCACACCCGCACACATCCCTCATCCGTTATTAGAGCGTCGATGTGACGTCACGGCTGCCGGGTGCGCAGTTAGCTTGACCGTGTTATATGTCCCTAAGGCACCCTACAAGACAAGGTTCAAAACACAATTTCCTAAGGAACCCTAAAACATACCTTCGTGAGAATGAATTGGCAGCGGCAGGGGCGGTCTTTTACTGATGTTCGGCTCAGGACTGGTTTCCCTTTCTGTAACAATTTATTCAAATTAAATTTCTTTCCACACCCACCCACAAGGTGCACCGACGACCTCATAAAGGAAGGCGCTGTAAGCAGGCCGCTACCAACCGGCCTTTGTGGAAATCATTGGGGGAGGCCCATGTTCAGCAGTGGACGTCCTATGGCTGAAATGATGATGGTGATGAAATTTCTGTACTGAAACAAAAAAAAACCCGCCTGAGTAAAAAAAATGAACTGAAAGATACAAGACAGTAACAATGTTACTCGTTTGGGTATGACTCGTTGGGAACAAGTGAGGATTCCGGGTGAAGCTCGCTTCCACCTTGACTGATCAGATCATCACTTTCCATCAGGTGAGATGCAGGCCCAGAGCTGACCCGTTGTGGAAGTCTTTCGTCAATTATTAATAGTCAGTAGACAATGGTTAATAGTCAATAGAGTCAATAGTTAATAGAGTCAATAGTCAAAAGTAAATAGTCAATGGTCAAACGCCAATAGTCAAGACTCAATATTCAACAGTCAATAATCAATAGTCAATAGTCAACAGTCAAAAGTAAATAGTCTATAGTCAATGGTCAAAAGCCAATAGTCAACATCAATAGTCAACATTCAATAGTCAACAGTCAATAGTCAACAGTCAACAGTCAATAGTCAACAGTCAACAGTCAATAGTCAATAGTCAACAGTCAATAGTCAATAGTACACAATGACTATTGTTTACCTGATATTCGATTCAACGTAGGCCGATCTTTGGTCCTCGGCAGAGACCTTGGAGACTCTTTAGCATCAGAATCAGATCGGTTCTGGAAGCTTCGGTTCCCTGTTGAAGTTATCGTACATTTTTTTACAAGTTTAATACTTAGCAATAAAGAAAAAATGATTATTTTTAAAAGCACAATTTAATGAGGGTATGATAAATAAAGATATTTATTATTTACATTTTAATAAGGCATTAGATTTAATAATAATAAATAAATCTTTGGACAATTTCACACAGCGCCAGCTAGCTCCAAAGTAAGCAACTTAATGCTTGTGTTATGGGTTGCTAGCTTAACGGATATACTACTTATATAATTTTTTATTTTTTTTAAATACATACATATTATACATAGTCACACCCAGACCCGTCACAGAAATTAAAATTTATCATTTCAATTTCTGCCCGGCCGGGAATCGAACCCGGGACCTCTCGGCATAGTAGTCCGTTCTGAACCACTACACCAAACCGCCGACTAATTTGTCTCATATTTGGGGAATACACTACGTTTAAGAGCGTTTACGCGAAGCGCGGCGTTTCAAGGGGCATCATTGGAAATGATTCGCGCGCGGCGTTTTTTAATAGTTTTCAAATGTTCATAGCAAAACAATAACAATGAATTAAATATCGTTTCAAAGTAAATATTTTAAAGAAGATGTTGTTTTATTATATTAAGCTATTTTTATGTTGAATAAAGGAAGAATATTGGTGAAAAAATCACTTTGATTTTTGGGTATTTCACGTTCTTTTAATTTGTGATTTCTTATTGTAAAATGCTTAAATGTAAAAATTTTCTCAGATAACTATTTGCCCAAGGATCTATGCTATAGGATATAAATGTTTGTTAAATCGTTTTCATAGTATTTTTATAAAAATTTCAGCTTGTAAACTGACGCTAAAGTGGAAATTTACAAAACCTGTGTGGACTTATCTTGATAGAATTCTTAAATACTAAACTAATCGCAATATTTTCTCAATTAACTATTTAGACGACGAAATTGCCTAACTATTTATGCCTATAACATATTTGTAGTATTACTGGTTAATGATTGTAACGAGTTGAAAAAGTACTGTTTTTGCGCCAAACGGCGTAAACGCTCNTTGATCATCAATCGTTTACCTAAATTCGAAATTTTGACCATTCCATGAAGACCGGTTGTATAAAAACGTTTCATGGATTTGCGTTTCACTATCGAAAAACATTCGCTAAAACTAATTTTTTTAACAAATAATAAATCAAATTCATGCTTAAATGCAGTTTATGTCATAATTTTGTTAGTATTAATATTTTTTACTGAATTACCTGTAAAAGTTAATTTTACAATTTCTGAAAAATCACCTAAAAGTAACCTTTTCATTAGTGTAACCTAAAAGTAACCAATGCAGTTCAAAAGTAACCTAAAAGGTTACAAAAGTAACCTAAAAGGTTACAAAAGTAACCTTCTGGCAACACTGGCGAGTTTACTACATCAAATTTTAGTTTTTGAACGTTTCCCGCTAGGGGCGCTGTACAATCCATCATACATTAAGGGCTAATTTTTCAATCGTCGGATAACTTTTAACTGAAGAATAAACTTGTCATTTTGACACATTGCCCATACTGAAACTGTCAATGTGACAAACTTATTCTTCAGTTAAAAGTTATCCGACGATTGAAAAATCGGCCCTTCATGACATTTTTTGACTCATTGTGAGCGCGTTTGATGAAAACTCACACTCAGCCCTTAGTTGGCGCCACTATCTTCGCAAAAATATTTGGGAAAAAAACTCATAAATTTTGGGAAAAGGTCCGTTATTCCCTCATGAAAAGCTAAAATATGCTTGTGCTTTTAGTAGTATTACGCCCGTATTCACAAACGATGCTTGCTTAAGTGAAGAAGCAAATCGAACGCACAGCGATCATCAGCTTTGAATAGAGCTATGTGGGCTTAGCGCGAGTTTACATAAAACGTGAGGACGTGAGAGCGTTAAAAAAATATTCGTGTGTGACCCTGTGCGTCCACGCGCACTGTGAGGCCTCATAGTAATGTTTGTGAACACAGGCGTTCGCATCAGTTCTTACTTGAGCTGTCGTCCTGATCCTGGGCCCTGAGGGACAAGCTCTCCAGTCTGGCAGTCCTTTTTGCTGAAATTACAATATGAAAGAGTTAATAACTTCAAAAGTTGCAGTGTCTCTAAAGCCTTGATTACACGTACCGATTAAACGGGCGAGACAGTAAAATGTTTATTCGGTCGAGACAGTTGGGTGAGCGAGTCACATACTCGAGCGCTCGACCGAGCACTCGGTGTGTATGAACATTACACCGAGTGCTCGGCCGAGAGCACTGTCTCGCCCGTTTGCTCGGTACGTGTGATCAAGGCTTAACAAAAGTCTTTGACCAGTGTGTGATGCCAGTGATGGTATATGAATCTGAAACGTGGTCGCTCACTATGGGTCTCATAAGAAGGCTCAAGGTCACCCAAAGGGCGATGAAGCGGGTTATCTCGGAGTTTCCCTGCGTGATTGAATCAGAAAAGAAGCCAAGAGAATTACTTGTTTGCGTTTGTCTTTAATGCATGTTGTTTTCACCTTCAAGTTTGCATTTAACAAGTGTCGTTTTTGTAAGTTTTTCTTGTCAATGCTACAATGTTCTACAAATCTTGTTGGTGATCAAATAAATAAACAATAAAATTACCTTTACCCTTCAAATACAGTATTACAGCTGTTTGCGTTATGATTATAACGGCAACCACGACCCCGACGATTATGTATATGTACACTGAAAGCAACAAAAAGATCATTCATTATCAAAATCATCATCATCAGGTCACTTAGCACTATAGTATCATCATCATTTCAGCCATATTACGTCTCCTGTTGAACACAGGCCTCCCCCGATGATTTCCAGAACCAGTTGGTACGAGAGTTATCAACCCGGAAAGGGATCGTAACCGTATCAACTCGAGGCGGTCAGCAGTGCCGTAACTAGGGCGGTGCCAGCGGTGTCCAGGCACAGGGCGCAGACCCTGGAGGGGCGCAGAAATGACCAGACCAAGCATTTTTCAAGGGCGCAGTTTTGGAAGCTCGCACCGGGCGCATAAAAGGCTAGTTACGGCACTGGCGGTCAGTATTCTTTGTATCAAACTCCATACTGCAACGCATTATCCGCACCGTAACGTAAACGCCTCGCCTCGCGGTTGACAGCGCGCGGTAGGCGTTAACAGCTCGCGAAAAACGATACGGGTGTTGATCCCTTTTCGAGTTGATGTCTGCTACGTCCTCAATTCAGTCAGTGCCTGGTGCTGTGACATTTACTTATGACGTTACAGAGTATACAAATCTGAAGTACATTTGAAGTCTCGCTGACGTTTGGCCTGTCTGTATCTCACCTGGTGGTAAGTGATGATCAGGCCGAAGGTGGAAGCGAGCTTCACCCGGAATCCTCAACCACAGAGGATCTGGCTATTATACCTCTAACTGCCGGAACACAACAATGCTGTTGACATTTTTGTTATGGCGACAGACTTAGGTAAGATGGCGGTAGCTAGCCAGGCGGACTTGGAACAAGCTCTACAACCAAACCGAACAGAAAAAATCTGCCCCCGCTGGGATTCGAACCCGGGACCTCTGCGTCTGAAGCAGGTGGCCTTCTTACCACTAGACCACAGAGGCGGTTAGGTATACATAGTTGATAACATTATTTTACTTACTATCAGGGAATTTTTCCTCTTTTTCATCCTCCTTTGTATTAGGAGTTACTGGCTCCGGTGGTGCTGAAAGTAGATTTTTGTCATTTTATTAGGTACTAGCTTTTGCCCGCGGCTTCGCCCGCGTTGATTTAGGTCTGTCCATTGGCGTACCTAGGTTCTGGGATGATTATTCAGGTCAAAAGTCTCTTATTTAGGGAATGAATAGTCTTGTTTTAAAATGACGCCAATGGTTGCAACTTGACCCTGTATAAATTAGAGAAAAACAAATATTCACACCTAAAATGGTATTAGGTACAATCCAGTCGAGTTAACTGCACACCTGGCAGCCGTGACGTGACATCGACTCTCTGGTCGGGACGGGACAAGCGGGTTGTAGTGAAAATTATCTACTTTAGGGACTATAAAGGACATAGCACATTTATCAACCCGGAAAGGGATCGTAACCGTATCAAGTCGAGGCGGTCAGTACTCAGATCATAGAAAGAGAATAGATATGAAGTCGCGCGTAACAACAACGAGAACCAGTGTCCCCACATTTCCCCACCACAGCTCCCACACACACATTCAACTGTGTAAAAACAAAGCGACTGAGAGTCTACGACAACATGTGCAACCGGCTTAAAAGTGCTGTGATTGGCCAGAAGGCGTGCCTTATGGCCAATCAATGGCCGCGTGACGTGACGCACACATAGAAAACGCTAGTGAGAGAACAAAAGATAAAATGGAGTCGACAAGATATCGATACTTTAAATCGCTAGGGGCAAGGCTCGAAACTGGTTTCACAAAATGCTTATGTATGAAAACCTTTTTATTATTATACGTTATTATTAACTAATATCACGCATTTATTTTTTAATTATGGCGATCTGCGTACCGCATATTTTTATCAAAAATAATGCCTATATTAGGCTTTCAACTAGCTCTTATAGTAATTACATAGTTGACAGTTACTAATTACTTCTACTGTTATTATTTTTTTGTAAAATCTTATAATCGCAAGTAACACATCATTTTTTTATTTAAAATTACAAAATAGAAAATTATAATTTACTTCTATTTATCGATAATAGGAAACCGCATTAGAACACGAGCACGGCACTATGTTACGACCGGCACATGCGGCCGTACTGTGTATTTTCACACGACAGTGGATATCGGAAGAAATTAAATACATTGCGCAGTAGTTGAGCATGACATAAAGTGGTTGCTAACTAAATCGTCAATGTACAAGCGTGTTAGAATTTTTATCACCACTGATATCGATATCGCAGTAACTGTTACGGCACTGAATTCGTTCGTGAAAATGTTTAGTTTTTTTTATTTATAAGCAAAATACCAATGGATTTGCAATACTTACATGTAGTAAATGACTCCATTGTTCCTGTAGTTCTTCGTTTCACTTGTTTTATTGCACGTAACGACGCATTATCCAAAATATCGGAGAACATTTCCTTAGTACGACTGAATCGCGACTAACCTAGCTACGCGGCCGATGTTCGTTTCTGGGCATATCGCGGAGACACGCGCCACGCCCCCGTTTCACATCTATTCCCTTCTATGATCTGAGGTGTTGTTGATCCCTTTCCGAGTTGATAAGTCTCGCACACTCACTGCGGGTGCCAGTCGCACAGTCGCGACAGCAATATAATTACGCGCGTGCGATAAGGATGGGTAGCTAGGGGTCATTGGACAAAATTCTACGTGCTCACGGACCAGGCTTTATGAGCTTAAAGTCCTTACTGCGGGTTGCGGGTACTTACGTGTTTGTATGTGTACTCTCGCACGGCAGAAAGTTTGTCTATACGTGCTGTTATCCACTATCACTATGTTTGAGACATCTTGGTTGTCTCTTAAAGTGAGTATCTCGCAAGACCAGTTCCCGTCATATGTCTTGGTTACGTTTTGCTAAAACAAATCAAATGAAATAACTTTATTTATTGTAGACTCAGGTACGCGAAAATTAGGCAGGGTACTCACCTGCCACGTAGCACGTAACGTAGCATGTAACGTAACCAACCTTCAAGTGAGTACGGCTCGTCCACGGTCATCGCATATCTGGCTGCGAGCTCCTGAATCCTCCTTTGTGCTCGCAGTGATACCGCCAGTCGGCGGGTCGCTGCGATCTCCCTGCGAACCACGCGGGAGCAGCTCGCAGCGGACTCGTGCCTATGTACTCACTTGATACAGTATCTGATACATTACATGCTACACGGCTAGATGAGTACCCTGCTTTAGACTTGACTAGCTACAGGTCTAGCTAACTCAGTCAGTGCCTGAGGTGAGCGGCTGGAGGGTATTTTTGTAACGTCAAACGCCAGCGAGACTTCAGATCTTCAGAATATGCTCTGTCACGTCATAAATGTCAATGTCACCCTCCCGTGCCGTCCCATACCTCAGGCGATGGCGGTGAAGCGGTAGACCTATACATCATATTATTGGCTATGTAACTCTACAAAATGTAATATTCCAAAACATAAATTAAAAGCTTACTGCTACTATTATGTACAGTCACGGAATGAAAAGGTTCGTCAGTTTTCAAATTGATTCCTTCAACGAATCGCGAGCACATATTACCTTTTGAAACTATGTTACAGAATAATCTCGAGTTAGAGAAAATAATCTTTAACTGTTCGTCAGTAAAGTTCAAAATTATTCAGATCAAAATTGTTTGACGATTTATCTTGTCAAGAAGATTATGATTGATAAACTAAAACCTTCTTGTTGGTTCAACCTGCCATTATTATTTCTATTAAATAAAAAAAACTATTGTCAATTGGTCAATGTCATCATTGCATTGCACTGATGGGATAGAAAAATAAACAAGCAAAACCTATTTGTTAGCAAACGTCATATTTATTTAAATGTTAGCAGCACTGTTTCTTGCACTGTTATGTTGGCAGGTTTGACTCTTACAGTACCTAGTGCAAGCGAAAACCGACACTAAGGTGACGAACCTTTTCATTCTGCGACTGTACTAGCGGCCGCCCGCGACCCCGTTTTACCTCCTTAGGGGTTGAATTTTGCAAAATCTCGTCTTAGTGAGCACCAACGTTCTAAATAGAACCCTCATGCAAAATTTGAGATAGATTCTCAAATTTTGTTCTTGTTCGTTCGTTCGTTTCAGCCGAAAGACGTCCACTGCTGGACAAAGGCCTCCCCCAAGGATTTACACAAAGACCGGTCCTGCGCCGCTCGCATCCAGGCACCTAGCACTTGTAGTTTCTGAGATTTCGTAATGAGCGAGGGAGTCAGTCAGGGACCTTTTGCTTTTACAGAGATTCTGTCCAAAGATACCCAGACAGCCACGGATCTACGATTGTTTCTAAGCGCCCCCTTTTTTTGGCCCCTGGGGTGCCCCGGTTCACCCCCTCCCCCTAAATCCGTGCCTGTCACGATTTAGAGCCAAAGCACACGATGCGTTGAGGCGCACGATATGTACAGGGTGTTGAAGAAATTGGTATCACAGCATATTTTAGTTTTATTTTTATAATAAGCTCATACTATTCAAAGTCAAAGTCAAAATTCCTTTATTTGCATGGACTATTAAAAATAGTATATTTATTATTTATTCTACTGACNTGGACTATTAAAAATAGTATATTTATTATTTATTCTACTGACCTTCATTGCATATAAATATTTCAAGGTACCGTTGTTTTTCTTGTTTGCTTTCCATTTCCGCCGC